CGACTCCTTCTCCGGCACCCGGCCGCATGCTGGCCCCGCCTCACCTTCGCCCTGCGCCTGCCATCTCCCCGCGCCTGGCCGCGTCGCCGTTGCCCCGCTTGCCGGCCCCGCCCGCTTCCTGGCTGGACGGCTCGCCGCCCCCGCGCTGGCTCTGCCCGCATCCCGGCCTCCTGCGCTGGCCGGCTCCGCCACACGACCCGGCCTGCCGGCTTCCCCGGCGACCCGACCTGCCGGCTCCCCCGCAACCCGGACGCCGGCCTCTGGCGCGACTCGGCCGTTGGCTTCCGCCGCGTCCCGCTCCTACCGGCTCATCAGGCAGAGAATAAAAAGAAAGAAGAGAAGAAAAGTCAAGCCACTGGCTGAAAAGAAAAAAAAGGTGACCAGGTGGGATGGGCCGGCTGTCCGAGAGGCCGGCTGGGACAAAAAAATGTGTGTGTGCATCCGGCTTGCCCAGATCCGGTTGAAGAAAATGTCGGATGTCCACGGCCGACTCGCAAGAAAAAAATGTGTGTGCGCGTCCGACCGCTGGCTGCCTGTCCGGCTGCAAAGAGCCCGACTGCTGTGTTGGGGTCCGCCCATCCGGCCGGCTGAAGAAGACGACGAAGTAGTTGCCGGAAGATCCGGCCCGACTGCTCAGCAGTCGGCCCGAATCTCGGGGGCTACACCCAGCGGGTGCGCTGACGTGCCCCCGCGAAGAAGAAGACGAAGTAGTTGCCGGAAGATCCGGCCCGACTGCTCAGCAGTCGGCCCGAATCTCGGGGGCTACACCCAGCGGGTGCGCTGACGCGCCCCCGCGATGAAGAAGACAAAGTAGTTGTCGGAAGATCCGGCCCGACTGCTAATCTCGGGGGCTACACCCAGCGGGTGCGCTGGCGCGCCCCCGCGAAGATTGCAGACAAGAGAAGAGTTCTATCCGGCTCCCCCAGCCGGCAGAAAAGAAGAAAAAGGGCGTCGCAAGACGCCTCGCCGCCTGGCCGGTCGATCCTGACCGGCCGGGACCCCCTTCGTGCACCCGGGGGCTCGAGGGCCACACCCAGCGGGTGCGCCGACGCGCTCCGCGAGCGTCGAGCCGCGCCGGCTGTCTTCAACAACCGCGACTACACAAAAATCAATGTGAGCTCCTCGCCCGCATATTTTTGCATCACACAAGCACGGATAACCCCGAGCGATGCTCGGGTGCTATCTCCGCATTTTTTATTACAGTCGCATCACTGTTCGCCCCGGCGCCAGCCAAAGTTGGCCCGGGGGCTGGCCGCTTGGCCTGAGACGTTAGTTCCCGCAGACGGCTTAGTAGCGTGCGCAGTACCAAAGGCTCACTCTTAGTCACAGACCGCAGAGCGGCTGTCCGGCTAGCAAGGGTGAATGCTGAAGGCCACCCATGCAAAAAACGTCTGGGAAGAAAAACGGCTCGGGTGACCCGGCCGTTTTCCTTTACAAGTATCTACTCGGTTGAATCTGCTCCTAGACTCTTGAGTATTGTACACTCCACTTCGCGGCCCACTCTTAACCACAGACCGCAGAGCGGCTGTCCGGCAAGTAAGAGCACAAGCAAAAAAGCGGAGAGAACACGAAAAAAAATTAAGGGGGCTCGAACGAAACCGAGTCGGCACCCTCCGCATAAAACTTGCAATGCTAAAAGCAAATATTTGATATATCCGCATGGACTAACTTTGTCTTTTTTCATGATCATTTACATGAACACTCGCCAAAAAACCTCCGCCCAACTTTGCCAAGTTGCCCGAAGGCTTGGGGGCTACTGTCGGAGTAATCGACCACGGGTACCCCGAGGACGGCAAGACGATATTTCAAGACATCAGGGCTAGCAAAGCCCCTCAGTCCGACTGCGCCAGCCAGCCGGCTGCCGACTGCGCCAACCAGCCGGCTGCCGACTGCGCCAACAACCACACCAGAGAGCTCTGCCCGGCCGACTGCAACGGCCAACCGGCTGCCGACTGCAACCCGACCCGACAGCGACAAGACCCCGACGAGACGGCCATACCACGAACAAGACAACCATACCGCAACGTCATCTACAGTGTACCGTGTCCCCTGGATACTGATTTATAAAGTACCCTAGGGGACAAGCATGACATGCACCATGCCTAGGCCATGCCACTACATAGCTTGATTTGTAAGCTATCCAAGGTAGTTTACAACCAACGCTACCACCACCCATGCCTACCTCACACTATAAAAGCTAGCTCCATCCATCAGGAGACACATGGACTCTCACACACACACCCACGGCCAAGTGCCATTCGGCCACTAGAGATTGCATGCTCATCCGGCCACCCGCATATATACGAGGCCAGATGCCTATGGCCAAGGCACTGACCTCAGATACAGCTCTAGGAGCAGCTCTGTACCAGATATATCAGATACACTCAGACATGCAACAGTAGGAGTATTATCTCTACGGAGAGCTCCGAAGCTGGGTAAACCACCGTGTGCTACTCGCATACCCGCTCCCGGTCCTATCAGCAGCAGTCTTACCCACACACTAAGCCCTTGTGGCATCTGTCGACTCGCAAGCCCCCCGTGAGAATACCACGACAGATGGGTTGGATGCAGCAGCTAACCACTGCGACTTTAATCTCCCCAATTAATAGCATGTTTTGAGTTGAGAAAAGAGCGATGTGATTGGCTTTCTATGTGGTTCAGTTTTCCTCCTACCCCAAATCTTTACATGCGTAGGTTGCCATGCATCTCCTTAGATGAACACTTGAACGACGGGATTATATTTCTTGATTATAAACAAAAAGGAATGACATTCAATTGGAGCAATAGCGGGCAGTAGTGCTATTATGGACGCAATAGCGGACACTATTACTATGAACCTAACAACACATCTATCTTGTGCACTCTCTCACTATCTAAAAAAAGTTACACATCGGCCCCTTGCACCCTCTCATTACCTAAAAAAGAAGCAACACGTCGGTCTCATGCACTCTTTCACTACCTGAAAGACGTTACACATTAGTCCCTTGCATCCTCTCACTACCTAAAATAAAGTTACATATCAGTCCTTGCACCGTCTGACTATCTAAAAAAGAAGCGTTAACATGTGACATTGTAGTACTCCCTTTGTTTCTAAATATAATTCTTTTTAGATATTCAATACAAACTACATACGGATGTATATAAAGATATTTTAAAGCGTGAATTCACTCACTTTGCTCCGTATGTAGTCCTTTATTGGAATCTTTAAAAAGACTTATATTTAGGAACAAAGGGAGTATCAATATAGTATATACAACAACCAACATAAGTACTTTCGCAAAAAAAAAACATAAGTAACTTTTCCATATAGTATGTGTTTATTAGTAGATAACACAAAATCAACCACAATACACACACACACACACACACACACACACACACATAAACTTCATATTTTCCACGCGCCACCAATTTTTATCTTTATGAATCCTAACTACACCAACAACGCTGCGTGTCCAACCCTTCTAGTATGACATGTAGGGGCAAGCAGAGAGTAATCCTAGTGAGGATTTCCCGGTGCACCAAACTGGTCTAAATTGGTACAGGTTCGAGATTGGCCGGCATCTCTACCAATTTCACAGATTAGAAGGTCATGGTTCGAGCCGGACACGGGCCCTACGAGTTCAAGCCAAGAAGATACCCATGCGCACACCAGGAAATCGTATACAAATCAGCATACCCCTTTGCATATATACTACAGTACGTACTACTTACTATACAAAAACAAAACTACTACTATATCTATATGCTGTTTTTGTTCCAGAATTACTATTACAAACTCCAGTTATATACAAGTCCGTGTTCCACTATACAAGTGGCATGTGCAGGTCGAGCACGAGCAAATCTTGCTATACAGGAGTGCCCCACCAAAGAATAGGGGAAGAATCTTGTCTATCTATCTATATCTCTATTTGCAGATTAACTCGAGGTAAGTTGCTTGCTGTTCCTAACTAGCAGGTCTCCGCTTGCTGTCCAGCGTTTTGGCTGGGTTAGTTTTGGCGATCTGACAGAACAGAATCACTCCACGAAAGCATGAAATCGCGTGCGACCGATGGCAAATCTGCACAGGAGAGTACGGGAGAAATGTGAATCACTAAGCAGGGAGAAATGTTTCCACGAACGACAAGAGCATGAAAAACAGAGTTTGATTGACTTACCTTGGAGAACCTCAAGAGCAACTGAAGGTATATCTATCTGATCTTCCACCAGTTTGTATACATCAACAAGCTGCAAAAGAGAGAAACAGGGTTGCGGTGATCCATCGTCGAGAAATTTAAATCTTATATATGGTTCGTGGCCGTAGTGATAAGTGCATTTGATCTCTTGAATCAAGATTGACCAGTTTATGTAGAATAGTACCTCGTCTACGTGCAACCTGGAGTCCTCAGTGAAAGCCATTACAAGTTGTCTCCTGATCCCAGAATCGATAAGGAACAGCCGTGCTCCATCTTTTATTGTGTCAGTGAGATCCAGTTTCTTCTCCAGTTTTTGACTCGACACAGTTTGCCTGCAGTACGAAAGATCAGAATACTTGCAGGAACAGCTAGACAGATACAGCATGACAGAAACAGTGGGTTCAATACTCACAGGCTATTGCTCTTCAGTGCAGGATTGGTACTCATCTTTGACACATTTTCCTTGGCAAGAACTATAAGGTTTTCTAGTCGTTTCCACTGGAACAATCCATCTTTGAATAACACCTGGTGTGGAAATGGTGATAATATCTCAGAAATGTTATAAACAACAACAGTGGCTTTCTTCTACTAATGCCTGCGTATTCGAAAAAATAAAAGCTTGCTGTTTTTCTCTGTACCCGTGTACCGATGCTTCATTGCACATTTACAGCTCACATAGTGATGTATTATATGGCAGAAACAACCAATGAGCGTCATGTTAAGAGGGTTCTTAGAAATTAAAACATACCTGTATCAGCCGTTCACGGAGAGCAGGATTTGGATCTGTCAAAAGACGGTTTGCTATATACGGATATGCAACCTAAATATTAAGAAACATACAGTGAAGAGCATAAGTAACCAAACAAATGTACAGTATTGTTCTCATAAGAACTGAAAAGGTAGCAAATGTCATACCTCAAGGAACTTAAATTCAGGCTTGAGAGTAAAGCAAATTCCTTCTTGCGTCAACAAAGAGCGAATGACCAAAGAAAATCTTTCTGGGATGCGGATAGGGTAATTGTACACGAGCTGATTAAACTTCCCTGTAATTTTCAATTTCATTCATTAGTAAAAAGTATATCTGAATACATGGAGCAGTGTTACACTAAGAATTCATCATTAGGGGAAGCAAAACAATAAAGAAAGTTTCAACATGTGTGAGCAACCGCAAGGGATGCATTCAAAAAGTATCATGGATTAACGATCAAGAACACCCACCCCCAACAAACATGTAAACTGACAAGATATCAAGCAAATATATATACATTTATGAGGAGAATGAAAAATTTAGAAAATAGGGATTACCAGTCACACTCCTGAAATTGAAGTCTGCCAAGCCTTTTCCAGCTGAGTTTTGCCAAATAGCTTCCAGAGCTGGGATAATTGGGGAAACATCTGTTCCACTAGCAAGAAAACCAAGCCTTGTGAAGTCATTTGCCATTTCTGCATAGTCTTCATTTACAGCATGAACTACAGCATCAATCAGGATTTCTTTGTTTTGCTGCATATACGAGAAACAACGGCAATAAAACATATGTAAGCAATTTCTTGATCTGCCAATGCAGTAAATCACAAGAATGCATTCACAATAAGGGCATCATTTTTTGTGGTGTTAGCAGATTGCAGAACTATAAGTAGCCGACGTACATTTTGACCACCTAAGTGAAAAGTTTTTCACACTAAAGAATCATTGGTAGTAGGGCATGCATGATATATTATTAATTATATATTCACAGACAAGCAACAATAAGAATCCAATCAATTGCAACTGCAAAGACAAATTCTGCTACTACCAAACAACCAAAAAAAATCAGACCTGGCTAAGGACGGCAACATTGCCAAAGTCGACGTAAGCAATACGGCCATCTCGCATCGCAAAAACATTTCCAGGATGTGGATCTCCATGGAAAAGGCCAAATTCAAGCAACTGGCGCAGTGCTGCACTCACTCCAACTGTGAGAAAGCCTTCTACATCAATCCCAGCTTCTTTTATAGCCTGAGGGAATAAATTGAAAACTCAATGATGCTACAAATTTTAAATGAACTAATCCACATTAGAAATAAGTAAAAGTTAATATGATGAATTCTACAAACCTGCGGATCAGTGCATCTGATTCCATCTATCCATTCCATCACCAAAACACGAGAACCTGAAAACTTATTATATACTAGAGGGATCTTCACAGTTGGATCATTCTTAAAATTTACTATGAAGTCCTCGATGTTTCTAGCTTCCTGATTGCGCAGAAAAGGAAGGCCGTCAACTCCCATTCAGACATTCATCACCAAATAAACATGAAACATAAAATCTGTGTTGCTGGAATGAAAAGACCTATAGTATCTTAATGACACATAGATAAAAGGTTGCAATACCTCCATGCAAGGAAATAAGAAGGTTGTGATACTGCACTCGTTAAGCCTCCGGTCATTAAATTAATTAAGATTTCCTATTTGCTGCGCTCGTGCATTGTGGGTACGGTACAAACAGTGAACTTAAAAAAATTGCTGAACAATTGGTTGGTTATTGCACTGAAAGGCCGCATTGATCAGAACATACAAGCTACTGTCGTCTCCTCCAGAAAACAACAAGCAACCAGATCCATTTATACTTACAAGTTCGCCACATCAGAGTGGGTTTAGTGCTAAATGTGCCATCTGAAGCATTTGTCATATTTTCCATTCATTGGGTACATCCAAAATTATAATTTGTCGCTTTGTTAGTGAAAACAGTGAAAGATCATGATTATGATGTCAATAAAAAGAGTATTAGTAGATTAACCATTCTGTGTGCTACCGACATCTATTCATGTGCCAATATTTTCTTCAAATATGCACGCACCATTTGTATGACTCAACAAATCTATAAATATTAAGGCACTAAAAATTCTGATCATCTTTTAACAACTCAAAAAAAGGCATCCCATAACTATTCTCCAAATTAAACAAAACATATGCTTCTGTAATAGTCATACACAATACATCACTACTCATTTTATTTTTGCGGAAATACATCACTACTGATGAGAAGTTACTTTTGATTTCGAAGTGTTAGAAGAGGTTCATGTACCTTTGAGCCATTTAGGAAACAGAACATCTTTAACTATTGAAGGCACAAGTGTTCACATACATACATGGTTACTTAATTTTAAAATATCTGAAGATATCAACTTAAAACCCCAGCTGAAACGTGCAGGCATGAACCTAGTGATTCATTACTCTGTAACTTAACATCGACGGGAAGAAGGCACAAAGAAAATACTTACAAGAGTGTAATCAAGTTCTTCCAAAAGTTTTTCACCGAATTCATCAACAATAAGCTCTGCATTGCAGCCTAGTTTTTGAAGGCTAATCCCATTCAAAAAGGAAGCCAGCGTGCGGAAAAGGAACAGATCTCGGAATATTATTGGCTCAATCCCTGGCCTCTGAACCTGTGGTATGATTGAAATCAAAGAGATAAGCATAAATAAACTCATTCCGTTTACAAGTCAAAAATATGATTTAAAAATTTAGCAAAAAGTAAAAGACAATCGTGGTAGTTATTAAGTTTCATGCAGCAACTACTAGGGCAATCCACATACACCTCAACACCCCCTCTCACGTGCAGCTCAATAAGGCCTAAACATGGACACAAATAGGGCAGGGCATATTTTAATATTTAAATCCCAAGATCCCAGACTTGAACCCAAGACCTTTGGGGTCTGATATGATATTAAGTTTCATGCACCAACCAGTGGAACCAAAAATCCAACCTGACAGAGAAGGTTGGGCAATCCACATATACTTCACTATCAACATCTGGACATTCTACTGGAGCATATGTTAGCATTTAGTTCATGAATGATGCAGCTATAAAGGATACAAATTTTATCAGGGAGAAGGAGGTAGACTATGTTTATAGTCAAAGAACCCCACTAAATGGTGCATCAAGTCACAAACGTCAGAGTATCTCAAGTAAGAAAAGAAAGTGAAAGGAACACGAACCTTGATAGCAACATCCTCGCCGGTTTCTCTTAGTGTGGCACGGTAGACTTGGCCCAGACTTGCAGCTGCTATTGTCTCTGATGAAATTTTGCTGAATAGTTGTTCTAGAGGCTGGCCAAGTTCCTCCTCAATTATGGAAAAGGCCACCTACCAGGTATACAGCAATAAGCAACGCTTAGTTAATCATCCTGATTTCATCGGCCTTAACCCAATACGTGTCCACTGTCCAGAACAATTTGTAAAAATATTCTATTGCAACCATGTACCTGGTTAGCAAATGGAGGAACGTCATCTTGTAGGATACACAGTTCGCTCATATAATCCTCACGAATAATATCAGGCCTGTTAGCTAGAACCTGAAAAAATAATGTAACTAAACAATGTTGGAATTGTAAGACACAACAGATAGCACAAGTGAAATCTTTTTTTCGATGAGATTTATCAGAAAGTGAAAAGAATATAACCTGTCCTGCTTTTATGAATGATGGCCCGAGATCACATAAAAGATTGCGGAGCTGGCGGGCACGGAACGGAACGATTTCTTCATCCCGTCCAACCAAGTAGTCATACACCAGAGATGACCAATAAAAGCCTAGTTTCCAAATGATCTCCACCCCCCGACTAGCGAGGGATAGTACAGAGCCACTTGATCCCAAGACTTTACTCCTGACCTATCAATTATGGAAATGGGCATAGTTAAAACCAAATTTCAGCAAACCAACCTTGTAAACACAAATGCTCGTAGTGCACAATACCATTTCCGGGGAGTACTTTCGGAAAGGCATGCAGACACCACGCTCGATATCAAGTTGCTCCAGTGCACTGTTGGGCTTTTTGCTGGGCATGCCTTTCGCAGCTGCACCATTAGTTTGCGTGGGTAGGGTCCGAGAAGAGAGCAGGGCATTAGTTGATGCAGCATTGATGACATAGAGTGAAGATCGCTTTGTCCTTTTGGAAATACAGGATCTTGAACCGGCATATCGAGTATATGGCACTGGACGGCTAGACGTTGATATACTGGGGCGATGCGGTGAAATAGATACAGAAGCTGTGCAGAGCTCCATGCTGAAAGAGCTATAAGCGATGATGCCTGCGGAAGGCAGGAAGCTGCATCAGTTATACTTCAATTCCTACCTAAGCAACACAAGTAACAGCCCTACTTACTTTAGCCTACAAAAACGTCTTATATTTTGGTACAGAGGTAGTAAATTTCAACTGGGAACCAGAGTTCCGAAGGTCATATCCTCTGCTGTATTTTTTTAGATATAGGGAGAAAGCAATTCTAATCAACCCAAACTGGTAAACACACAAACCCCAAGTTTCTAACCTAGGTTAGATATGCAGTCCCCAATCACAAGAGAATTTCCCCCATGCTATCTCACATGTTACAGAAGCCAATAATAATCTCAGGGCAGCGGAAAATTTGGGGAAACGACTGTTGACCAAAGCTAGCCAACCAAATCAAACCCACATAAACAGACCGAGAAGCTGCTATGATACTATGGACCTAATTCTACACGCGCGCACACAAATCCCCGCTCTCAGATGGTCCTAGAAACAACCACTACGAACCCGCGAAGCCAGGGCAGAACCCAGGCGAGGAACGGCTGCGAGAAGACGACACCGCAAGAATCGGCGGGGGTTCGGAGCCTCACCTCGTCTTCCGGCGAACTCGCGCCGTGGGGTTCGGGATTCGGTGAGCCCTCCGAGGCGAGCCGGGGCGGTTGTGTGCCGGCTCCTTGTTTCGATTTGGGCGGGGAAGAAGCGCGTGCTCTTTTGTGGTGCCGAGCCAGCCGTGGCAGCGGTTCTGACGGGCACAATGGTGAGAGAGTGTAGATAGCTGCTCACGGTGGCCATCCAATGTTAAGCGCTAGCTGCCTAGCACGGCCACGTCGGCTCTCGAGGTGTGTCGCCAAACTGGAAACTTTGCTGTCCACAAGTACGGAACGTGGTCGTCTGTCCACGGAAATTTGCCAAAATTGGGGGAATATAAGATGAAGGAAAACAGCTAGCAACCAGGACGTTTTGCGAACTAAGCATCGCTCACATGGTTAGGTTTCTAGACTTGGCATTGATGTTTGTCCTTTTCTAAAATTATTTCGGGCCTTTTGATGATATGCGTTTAGTGAAAGAAGACATTGTCATGGACTATAAAGGCATATTTATTTTCCATTGTATGGATCGTTATAATTCCTGGCCAGTTAATGGCTTCGTTAATTTAAAATCGGGTTCTTCTTGAGCCTTCGTTTCAGAAAAAAGGCATCTATGACGATTTGTTCATAGAGATAAATGTCTCTATGCATGTATGAGTGATGTGTTAAAAAAATCAAGACGTCTTGAATGCAACCAGATGACACGACGAGATATACGACAATGAATTTCATAGTGATTGAAGATAAACATCAAAGGACCACCCCCGTGAAAATAACATCAAAGGAACACCTGCCTTGATGCCAAGAATGATGAACGGTGACACGACCCAATTATTAATCTTCCTAGTAACTATCTTCAATTCAAAAGAAAATCTCTTATCCTCCTCAATTTTTGAAAAAATAAACTACTACCTCCGAAGTGAGAGAAAGCTTAGGCCTTGTTTCAGGAAAAAGAAACAACTCATGAAAAAAATAGTAAATGATATAATTTTAACTAGATAGAGGACATCAAGTAACTTCGCCGGTCCCAAGCCCGGGTAAAAGAGGAGGATTGTGATAGGCTTGGCAAACCAACGTAAAAACTAGTCAGTCCCATGGGTATGGAACCCATTTGAGCGAAAGTAGTACTAGGATGGGTGACCTCCTGGGAAGTCCTCGTGAAAGGGTTTCATATCTAAGGGTTGTGATAGGCTTGGCGAGCCAACGTAAAAACTAGTCAGTCATTTGGGTATGAAACCCATTTGGCCGAGGGTAGTACTAGGATAGGTCACTTTCTGGGAAGTCCTCGTGAAAGGGTTTCATATCTAACCTATCCCAACTTGTTTGGGACAAAAGGCTTAGTAAGTAGTAGAGGACATCAAGTCCAATAAACTAACGCAAACACCAACAACAAAGTCCCTTCATAGAACAAATAGTTACTCGACCTCATCAAGAAACTATTTCCTCATCAGATTTGCATCTTTCGTCATGATTCATGATTTTATTAACAAAAAATTTGCACTTAAAAATCCCGCTGCAATGCGGGGGCAATCGCGCCGCAATTCTATAGTGAGTCGTTGTTGTTCGACTGCAAATGCACTGACAACAAAACTGGCCGTAGCTAATTATCTGCTCTTGTCAAAACTCAAAACTGGCGAGTGGTGCAGAAGATCTGATAATACCGACTCAAAGGTGAGTGATCTACCAGGGATCCATATGTTGTACTGTACATCACTAATTTGGAGAGCCAAAACGTGAGAATGTGCGCAATTTCCAGCATCGTGAGCTCGATCATTAGACACTTGTGTTGCAACTGCTTGTTCAAGTCATTGGTCAATTTCACTATCATCACAAAGGCCGAAACAACGTACATCACTAGCACCACCCCTACCAATACTCTAACATGAAGCATAAGGGCGACACTGATGGAGAGCATGAAGAGGATTTCCTCCATAATCACACCATTTTGAACAAGAACGGAAAATAATTAGATGCGACCAAAATGAAGTTGAAGTGATCAAGGCTTGAGGTGCCAAAACAAAAAATATCACCATAAAAGAACTTGAGTTGGTGGAAGTTTAAACAACTTTGTTACTACATCATTGCACACAACCAGCACATGTCGGATTAATGATCATAATTCACCAGCGACAATGAAATTGTGTTCTTCAACCACTTCAATGGAATTCTCGGAACACTGTAGACAAATCAAAGAGTGATGAGTTTAAAATCTGTGGGTCTTTGTGCAACCATGGCTTTGCATGAGATTAAAGGGATGTTTGGTTGGTGACTAACTTAGCCAAAGATTGCCACAACTAAGGTTAGGCAAGTTTGACCAACTTAGTTGAGTGTTTGGTTCAAGCCACACCTTAGGCAAGCCACACTTGAGCCCCACATGGCATACACACAAAAAGTGTGGCAAGATTCCTTTATGCTTGCCAACTTGTGGCTCTCATTTTGATGAACTAATCTTAGGCAAGCTTGGCAAAAAAATGTGACAAAGTGTGGGAATACTAGTCTTAGAACCAAACAGGCCCTGACTGTCCACTGAATGAAGAGAAATTTTGGAATGCAATAAATGGCCTACCTTCACACAAAGCCCCGAGAGCAGATGGTTTTGTTAGGGTGTTTGTAACGCCCTCGATGCGGCTATATCTCCCACGTGTCGAAGCACGACTTAGAGGCATAACCGCATTGAAAGCAATGTCGCAAGTGAGGTAATCTTCACACAACCCATGTAATACATAAGGGAAAGAGATACATAGTTGGCTTACAATCGCCACTTCACACAATTACATGAATAAAGCATTACATTATCCAGATACAATCAAGGTCCGACTACGGAACCAAAATAAAAGAAGAACCCCAAATGCGACAAAGGTCCCCGATCGACCCCAACTGGGCTCCACTACTGATCAACTAGAACGGAAACAACACAAAGGACAAGATCTTCATCGAGCTCCTCCTGAGCTTGGTTGCGTCACCTGCTCGGTAACATAGGCACCTGCAAACTGGTTTTGGAAGTATCTGGTGAGCCACGGGAACTCAGCAATCTCGCACCCGCGAGATCAAGACTATTTAAGCTTATAGGAAGGATGGAGTAATGAGGTGGAGCTGCAGCAAGCGACTAGCATATATGGTGGCTACAATCGCAAAAGAGAGCGAGAAGAGAGGGCAAAGCACGGTCGATAAAAGTATGATCAAGAAGTGATCCTATAGCAACCTACGTCAAGCATAACTCCAACACCGTGTTCACTTCCCGGACTCCACCGGAAAGAGACCATCACGGTTACACACACGGTTGATGTATTTTAATTAAGGTCAACTTCGGGTTTTCTACAACCGGACGTTAACAAATTCCCATCTGCCCATAACCGCGGGCACGGCTTTCGAAAGTTCAAATCCCTGCAGGGGTGTCCCAACTTAGCCCATCACAAGCTCTCACGGTCAACGAAGGAATAGACCTCCACCCGAGACGTTCCGATCAGACTCGGTATCCCGGTACAACAAGACATTTCGACAGGGTAAAACTAAACCAGCAACACCGCCCGAATGTGCCGACAAATCCCGATAGGAGCTGCACATATCTCTTTCTCAGGGCACACTCAGATTGTCCAAGGTACAGGTATGCCAACCCAGAGTTGCCCCTGGTGGCCACCGACAGCTGACAGGTTGGACCAACACTCAGAGGAGCACTGGCCCGGGGGGGTAAAATAATGATGACCCTTGAGTCTGCAGAACCCAAGGGAAAGAAAATGCTAGGTGGCAAATGGTAAAACCAAGGTTGGGCATTGCTGGAAGAGCTTTACTTAAGGCGAACTGTCAAGGGGTTCCCAATATAGCCCAACCGCGTAAGGGACGCAAAATTCGGGAACATAACACCGATATGACGGAAACTAGGGCGGCAAGAGTGGAACAAAACACCAGGCATAAGGCCGAGCCTTCCACCCTTTACCAAGTATATAGATGCATTAATTAAATAAGATATATTGTGATATCCCAACAAGTAAACATGTTCCAACAGGGAACAACATCTCCATGTTCCAACAAGAAACAAACTTCAATCTTCACCTGCAACTAACAACGCTATAAGAGGGGCTGAGCAAAGCGGTAACATAGCCAATCAACGGTTTGCTAGGACATGGTGGGTTAGAGGTTTGACATGGCAATTTGGGAGGCTGACAAGCAAATGGTAGGAATCATAGCATTAGCAAAGCAAAAGAGCGAGCAAACTAGCATAGCAAAGATAGTAGTGATTTCGAGGGTATGATCATCTTGCCTGAAATCCCGCAAGGAAGAAGAACGAATCCAAGAAGAAGACAAACGGTCGTAGACGAACAAATCCTCACAACTCCGGAACGAAACCGAAGCTAACGAGAGAAGCAACCCGGAAAGAAACAAACAACATAGTAAACACACAAGTATAAACAAGTCATGATGCACAAACAAGTATGATGCATGTCCGGTTTAATGAGGCATGGCATGGCAAAGTGCAACAAACAATACTACAAGTTAAGTGGAGCTCAATATGCAACGAGGTGCATGTTGACGGAACACCACATCAATTATTTAGTTATCTCTCGTTTAAGCTACCCAACAATATTAACTGTTGTTAAACATGGCAAGAGGTGAAGCATAATATAAACTATACCATCTAAACAATTTAAATGGGGCCGGATATAAAAACAACAAATCCGGTAAATCCCCATATGCATTTAGCAATTTAATGCAACAACAAGTTTAAACATTTTAAATGTTGTTATCATGATGCGGATGACATATACAAGTTTTATGCAATTTTATGAAAATGTTGACATGAGCATGTTATGAAGCACTTGGTCACCATGGCGGAACAAAGAGGGTGCCACGGCGGCGAAACAAAAATGGTGCCACGGCAACATATCCGAAAATGATGCCACGGCAACATATCGGTTCCGGTAGCTCACGGAGATACCGGTGCAAAAGGAGGCGTGCGGATGCGTGCATGGATGGTGGGGTGATCCCGGATTCCGGGTGTCCCACAGGTCGACGGCATGGCAAACGAGGAGGAACGTGCACGAAACAAACGGGCACGATGCAAACATATGGTACATCTCAGACAACATGCATTCGGTCCACGGCGGTCGTTTCGGGTTATACCTTCGAAGCGTTCAAACGAGACGGTTCGCATTCGAAGCGGTGTAGAGGAAGTAGGCGTTCACGGGACGTCGTCGGAAGTAGTTGTTC